GGGGGATTCGAAATATATGTTTATGCTTGCATTTTGATTTGATTACTTCTAATTGCGTTTCATAAGTTGTGGATTCAATTTGTTTAACTGTTTGATTGATAACTTATTTATGTATGTTTATTAAGAGTACACGCTTAATTTTCATGCATGAATATGACGCTAGAATATAAGTGCGTTTCACCTAATAGTTATGAACTTATATTCACAAGTAGTGGAGGTTGCTTATAAACAATCGCGTTAAACGAATTCTTGGCATAAGTTTCATGCAATCATAGTAACGAATGCCTCGTCAACACTTATAATTTTCATAGAGCGTAATGATTCTTGCTTGTATCTCTATTATGCAATCATGTAGGGGACTTGTGGGGAATGTTTTGGGTTGTCGTATGCAATCATCCAATTCAATAACGTTAAGAAGATTTGAAGGTTAATTAGTGCATCACGGTTAACTTGGGGTGTTGAGAATTCATGGTTTATTGAAATGCAATTGGAAATCTTTTTATTATGCAAGTGTAACATGTGTGGAGATGAACCCCTTGGCTAGCATCCATTCATTCCATTTCATCAATTTCATATTTACATTCTGTTTTAATTGCAATTTGTTCATTTAGTTTAATTTCGTCAAATCAAAACCCCCCCTTTACTTTCTTGTTCTTTAGTGCTTAGAATCTGTTTAGTTTATGTTTTAAAATGTTTTGAATCAAGCCATAATCTTAAATTCGTCCAAAATTGGGTTTAAGGTCAGAAACTGCCTAGTTAGTGTTTTTAGGCAGTTTTGAGTCTTTTGAACTTGTTTTGAGTCCTTTGAGTCTTTGTATTGTCCAAATTAGTTAGAAAGTATCTTAGTTTGTGTTTATAAGTGTTTTGATTCAAGTTATTACACAAATTCGTCCAAATTCACCAAAGTGCTCAAAACTGCCCAGAAAGTGTTTTTAAGGCAGTTTTGAGTGTTTTGGGTGATGTTTGAGTCTTTTGGTTTGTTTTAGTGTTTTAAGCGTTTAGTTTCGCATTCTTTGAGTCTAGTTTAGTGTTTTAAACTTTATTTTACGTTTTTGAGTCAGTTTCCAAGTGATTTGCAATCCCTCCTAATCCCCGGTTAAGAACGATCCCTACTTATACTTATACTACAATTGTCAAAAAGAGGGTTTAATTTGTGTGCGTATAATTCTCGCATCACCTTCTTGCCCCTAATGTGGTCGATGAATTCATCTAACCAGGCCTGTGCTTCTTTTGGCAACATCAGCTTGGGCAACCTTTCTTCCCGAGTTATGCCAAAGTTTTATGCATGCACTAGGTTTTCACAGAGAGTGTCAACCAGCAATGGTGGGGACATTCCTCTCTCAAGCGAGATAGTTCTAAAACATATTAGCTCCAGACTTCATCTTGGTATTGGTATCAATACCATGTCCTCTTGAGCTCTCATTAGGAATCTGTACTTCCCAGGATGAGGGCTCTGTGGCACATGATCTCCTTCCCCCCTCAGTCTTGCTATTTGCCTTTTCTACCTTCTTTTTGCTTCTCCAATGAAGTTGATTTCTTCCCCCATGAGGTACTTTCTCAAACTTCACATTTTCAGAGGTTTCTGAGGCAGTGAAGACTTTTAATGAGTTTATGTGAGCTTTGTGCTGCCTCTGAACTCTCCTGATCATAGAGGCTTCAATTTCTTTGACAGACTTCTCTTTTCCTACTACGTACCATTTCCGCTCGAGTCGGGCAAAATCTTTCTTGGTGAATAAGGATATAATGCTCTTTGTTCTTCCTTTCATTCTGACATCATTGTAACTTGGTTGGGGAGGTCTTACATCCACCCATTTTGGTATTTTGGCTTCTCTGTCATCCACATCTTCAGAGGCTTCATAATTTCTACATACCTCTGATAAGCCCTTTGGTTGAGAATCTCATCCCAATCTTTGGAAAACATTTCTGGAGGTCACTTTCTCAACTGTCTACATGATACTTCTGTGGGCTTCTTGTTATTCTTTCTCATTTCTTCTAATCAACTTCTGATCAATAATGGCTCCTAATGCTGGTACTTCTAACTCATATTCTTCCTGGCACTTACTACATAACATCAGTCCTTTAACTATGGCTGTTTTGGGTTTCTCGGGCAGCTTGATAGTTCCTTCTGTTGGTTTGTCAACTTGCCTTCTTTCTGCTTTCACTTCCCAGGTGACTTTTCCTTTCCCTTTTTCTGCCCAAGTCAAGTTGATCATGTTTATTGGGGCTTTTAGGAAGGGATCCGTGTCAATCATCATATTGGCTTGTGGTTTTTCCAACATCAATTTTCCCTTCACTATAAGGTTTTGTATCCAATCCTTAAACTGGGCACAGTTGGTTATGGAGTGATTGAAGGTATAATGTAGCTTGCAATACTCCTTTCCCCTTAGCTTTTCTGGCTTAGGTATTTTTTTGGTACGATCACTTTTGCTCGCACCAACTCTTCATATATCTCTAAGGCCTTGGTTAAATCAAAAGAATAACTTTGGTATTTTGGAGGCTTCATAGGGACAAATCCAACATCATTCATCGCCACTTTCTGATCTTTGACTGGTTGGACTTGATAAGCTCATATTTATATATATTTTATATCAAATTCACTTGTCTTTTCTTAGTTAGTTCCTTATATTTTTGAGTTATTTACCTTGTTTTTGTGTTTTTTAGGATTTGTCAAGTAAAGAAAAGAAAAATAACACAAGTGGAATGTTAAGTAATAAATTCGTCAAAACTGCCTGTGCAGGTCAGCTGACTTTGGAAGCCAGTTGCGGACAGCTCAGAATGAATTAGAGAATGAGCCTTATATGCTTGGAAAGCTATGGATGTCTATTTTCTGGACCATTTTACAGATTGTTAATATCATTTTTCTAGAAAAATGGTCCAGAAAATAGACATCCGTAGCTTTCCAAGCATATAAGGCTCATTCTCTAATTCATTCTGAGCTGTCCGCAACTGGCTTCCAAAGTCAGCTGACCTGCACAGGCAGTTTTGACGAATTTATTACTTAACATTCCACTTGTGTTATTTTTCTTTTCTTTACTTGACAAATCCTAAAAAACACAAAAACAAGGTAAATAACTCAAAAATATAAGGAACTAACTAAGAAAAGACAAGTGAATTTGATATAAAATATATATAAATATGAGCTTATCAAATACCCCCACACTTAGCTTTTGCTAGTCCTTGAGCAAAACAAAGAAAACATGAAAAGTAGCAACATGAAAAACATTAGCTCCCCACTATGTCACCCTCATAGAATTTCATTCAAGAAAACAAATCATCAAGAACCTTAGCTAGCACCAAGCAAGCTAATCCAAGCTCATCTTCCTTATTCAAATGTTAACAGCGACCTTTTAATCATCCTTGAAGTGTAGTGTGTGTAATAGCCATGCTAATGCAATTTCAAGTTTTGTTTTAAAACACTACATGCAAACTAGTGACCTTCTCACGGGACATACACTCAATCACACATATGTTTAGTTTAACGTGTTTCGCTCAAAGAATCAAATGTGAAAGATCTAACATAAGCTTGCATAAAGATCTCATCTCCACAATCATAATTGCAAAACTAAAATCAAGAGGACTTTTATTGGTTGTAATGAGGCTTAGGGAGGGGGTTATAGAAATGAAAGGATAGGTAAACACAAGTTCCAAGCTACATTGCAAGCAATTCTCTTGTTGAGATTTATAAGAACTCAAGCTCTCCAACCACTCTACTAATACCTCCAATCACACCCCTAAACTTTTTATTTGCTTTGTATACAAAAATTTTTCTTCTCCTTTTTTTTTCTTCTCTTTTTTTTTTTTTTTTTTTTTTGAACCAATTTTCGCACATAACTAAATACAAACATGAAATACCCCCACACTTATTCTTTTGCCAAACTCTTTCAAAGTACTTCACAAACATTTCTCATAAGACAATCTCACATTGCTCACTAGCTAGCTTGGAAAGGGTAAGGAAAAATGTTTAAGGTATAAGGGCAGACATATCTGGTGATAAGAATTAAAAGGCTTAACATATAGGCTCAAATTGGCAATCTAATGATCTCATTTTTCTTTAGGAAACATGTTTATTTGGGCCATGGTGATAAACCTAATGCCTCTATCATTTTCAAGTTCATGCAATCAATGACAAACATTTCGAAAGATCGTTATGCAAGTTCTAGAGATGTAAGTCACATAAGTTCATCACACATGAAAGAATAGGAGTGTATGAAAAATGCACACACTTTCAATAGGCTCAAAAACTCACATAGGTTGTATATGGTCACTATGTTCACATATGAAGCTTTAAATCATGCTTTAGTTTCACATCAACAAGGCTATGTGCTTTTGGTTTTTCAAAGATGATTAAACATGTATAAAGCTAACAAGAGAATAAGGAACTTCACACAATACATGCTTACTAAGTTCTTGATCACCATGCTCCAAATTCAATCCAATTATATCATTGGGTCGGGAAACTAATAAAAATCTAATTCAAAACAATAAATAAAATAAGACTATTTTTGAATTTTTCATATTTTCAAAATTTTCTCTTTTTTTTTTATTTTTTATTTTTTTTAAGAGTCAACAAAACTAATTAAGAAAACAAAAAAAAAAAACAACAAGGAAACAAATTAAACCAGTTCTTAGTCAAAGGGACGAAAATTTTCAATTTGGTCATTTTTTCAATCTTTACCCCCAAACTTAAACTGGACATTGTCCCCAATGTCATAAAACACAATAATGCATAAAATAAAAAAATAAAAAAGAAATAAAATAGTAAGAAACAAAATAAAGCATTTGGACTGAAAACTTCCCCAATTTGCAATAAAATCAAGTGATGACCCCCAAACTTCAATTCTGCAATCAACTCCAAGGGTGGACATAACCTAAGATTCCTACAAAGAAAAGAAATACTTCAGCTTAGCACGCATGAAAACTCAGAAAACAAAACAAACGAAAAATTGAAAATGACATGAAAAGATAATGAATAGAAATATTGGGTTGCCTCCCAATAAGCGCTTGCTTTTACGTCCTCAGCCGGACGGTACCAAGAGTAATCATTCAAGGGAAGCTGGTTCTTGGAGGGGTACAACCTCCACATCATGCTCCGCAAAAGACTCGTAATATGGTTTGAGTCTATGTCCATTCACTTTGAACAGGTTTCTGGTCTTTGCACTTTGGATTTCCACTGCACCATGAGGAAAAATATTAGTTATAACAAATGGACCAACCCATCGAGAACGAAGCTTACCTAGAAATAACCGAAGGCGAGAATTAAATAGAAGAACTTTCTGTCCAATGGCAAAGCTCTTCCTTGATATCATCTTGTCATGAAATGCCTTTGATTTCTCCTTGTATATTCGACTAGACTCGTATGCATCATTCCGAATTTCATCTAACTCATTCAATTGAAGCTTCCTCTGCTGTCCGGCAACACTCATATCCATGTTGTAGGCTTTGATAGCCCAATAAGCTTTGTGTTATAATTCTACTGGAAGACGGCATGGTTTCCCATAAACTAATCGAAATGGGGACATTCCAATAGGAGTCTTATAAGCAGTCCTATAAGCCCACAATGCATCGTTCAAGCGCATGCTCCAATCCTTCCTACTAGGACTCACAGTTTTCTCCAAAATTTGCTTTACCTCACGGTTTGATACTTCTGCTTGACCACTAGTTTGCGGATGATAAGGTGTAGACACCTTATGTGTGACATTGTACTTCCTAAGCAACGCTTCAAATGTTCTATTGCAAAAGTGACTCCCTCCATCGCTAATGATTGCTCTAGGTGTCCCAAATCTTGCAAAGATGTTAGTCTTAATAAAATCTGAAACAATTTTTGAATCATTAGTTTTGGTAGCTTTCGCTTCCACCCATTTAGAAACATAATCCACAGCCAATAAAATGTAAAGAAAACCATTTGAAGATGGAAAAGGTCCCATGAAATCAATGCCCCATACATCAAAGATCTCAACAATCAAAATAGGGGTTTGTGGCATTTGATTTCTTGGGCCCAAGTTACCTGTTCGTTGACAACGATCACATGTTGCACAAAACTCGTACACATCCTTAAACAAACTAGGCCAATAAAAACCACTCTCTAACACCTTAAGGGCTGTCCTTTTTGCTCCAAAATGGCCGCCACATGCATAAGAATGACAAAAAGTTAGAATAGATTTAAACTCAGATTCAGGGACACACCTTCTAATCAATTGATCAGGGCAATATTTCCATAAATAAGGATCATCCCACTCGTAGTATTTGGCGGTTTTGACAAGCTTATCTTTCTGAGCACGTGTAAAATCATCCGGAATCTTTTTGGTGACCTTGTAATTGATAATATCTGCATACCAAGGGTCAGTAACCTTTAATGAAAACAATTGCTCATCCGGAAAACTCTCACGTAAAGGGATGAAATCTTCCTCTATGTTTGAGTGCACAAGTCTGCTAAGATGATCTGCTACAACATTCTCACTCCCTTTCTTATCCTTGATCTCTAAGTCAAACTCTTGAAGCAGAAGTATCCATCGAATGAGTCGCGGTTTTGCATATTTTTTTGTGAGTAAATACTTCAAAGCTGCATGGTCAGAAAACACAATAACTTTAGTTCCAATTAGATAAGATCTAAATTTTTCTAAAGCAAATACAACAGCTAGAAGCTCCTTCTCTGTTGTTGAATAATTCAACTGTGCATCATTGAGTGTTCGTGATGCATAATAGATGACATGTGGCACTTTGTTGACACGTTGTCCTAGAACTGCACCGACAGCATAATCTGAAGCATCGCACATTAACTCAAAAGGTAAACTCCAATCTGGTGGCATGATCACAGGAGCCGTGGATAACAACTCCTTAAGTTTGTTGAATGCTACCACACACTCTTCATTCATATCAAATATTACATCATTTTGAAGCAAACGGCACAAGGGTCTAGAAATCATTGAGAAGTCTTTCATAAACCTACGATAGAAACCTGCATGTCCAAGAAAAGAACGAACCTCCCTGACAGTAGTAGGGAGAGGTAAAGAACTAACAATTTCTACTTTAGATTTATCAACTTCAATTCCATTTTCAGATATGACATGCCCTAAAACTAATCCATGTGAAACCATGAAATGACATTTTTCCCAATTTAAGACCAGATTAGTTTCTTGACAACGTTTTAAAACTAAGGACAAATTATGTAGACATGTATCAAAAGAATCACCATAAACTGAAAAATCATCCATGAACACTTCAATTATTTTCTCAATCATATCAGAAAAGATACTTACCATACACCTTTGAAATGTGGTGGGGGCGTTGCAAAGTCCAAACGGCATCCTCCGGTATGCAAATGTGCCAAATGGACATGTGAAAGTCGTCTTTTCTTGATCCTCCGGAGCAACTGCAATTTGATTATATCCAGAATAGCCATCAAGAAAGCAATAATGAGAATGACCAGCTAACCTTTCTAACATTTGATCAATGAATGGAACTGGAAAGTGATCTTTGCGTGTGGTGCTATTTATCTTCCGGTAGTCTGTACAGACTCTCCAACTATTTTGCACACGTGTAGGCACTAGCTCACTAGCTTCATTCTTAACAACTGTGACTCCGGATCGCTTCGGAACTACTTGAACAGGGCTTACCCACTTGCTGTCCGAGATAGGATATATGATGCTAACATCAAGAAGCTTGATAACCTCTTTCTTGACGACCTCCATCATGAGTGGGTTCAAACGGCGTTGAGCTTCCCTTGTAGGTTTTGCACCTTCCTCCAGCATAATCCTATGCATACATGTAGCTGGATTTATGCCTTTGATATCTGCAATGCTCCAAGCTATGGCAGTTTTGTGATCCTTCAGTACCCGGATCAGTTTCTCCCCTTCTTCTGCTGTGAGTTGTGATGATATGATGACCGGTAATGTTTCATCCTCTCCCAAAAATGCATACTTCAAATGTTCAGGAATCGGTTTAAGCTCCAATTTGGGTGCCTGAATCACAGAAGGAAGAATTTTTTCGTTAGAAGTAGGTAGAGAAATAAAATGGGAAGAAAACTTACCATGAATTGGTGAAAGAAACTCAAGGGCTGCCACTGTCTGGATTAATTCTTCTTCAATGTGCTCGGAATAATTAAGTTTTCCATGTGTAATGCTATGCACTAACGCCTTCTCTAAATTGTCTTGTCCTACACCTTCATTAAAACAATCCTGCACAAAATAATCAAACGCATCAATAGACAAACAAGATTCAAAATCATTAGGGTACCTCATAGCATTGAAGATTTTGAACTTGACACTTTCTCCATCAATTTCCATGGTTAAAGTACCATCATAGACATCAATCTTCGTACGCGCCGTTCTAAGGAATGGTCTTCCCAATATAAGAGGAAGTGCAGTAGGCATAGGGTCATGTTCCATCTCAAGAACAAAAAAATCAGCGGGAAAAATAAGTTCATTCACTTGCACAAGTACATCCTCCAATAGGCCTTTGGGATATCTATTTGAATGATCTGCCAACTGGATTACTACCTTTGTTTCCTTCAAGTCTCCAAGGTTTAGTGATTCATACACTGAATATGGCATCAGATTGATGGATGCCCCCAGATCGCACAATGCTCTTCCAAACTCTTTCCCTCCAATTACACATGGAATGGTAAAGCTACCGGCATCCTTCAACTTCGGTGGTAGCTTTCTCTGCAAAACAGCTGATACTTCCTCGCTTAATGCCACAGTTTCTTGATCATTGAATCTTCTCTTGTTCGTACAAATCTCTTTAAGGAACTTTGCATACTTGGGCACTTGTTTTATGGCATCTAAAAGAGGTAAGTTCACTTGGACTTGTCGGAAAGTATCCAAGATTTCCTTATCAGTTTGCTCCTTCTTAGACTTCATAAACCTACGAGGAAAAGGAATAGGGACACATGAGTTAAATGAATTTTGAACTTCTTTACTTACCTTATCAGAATCTTTTTTGTTTAATTCTGTATCTTTATGAGACTTTTCAGTTTCTGTTGAAGCCTCATCTTGCTCAAGATTTTTGGTTTGTTGCTCCCCTTGCTCATTTGTATCTTTTCTAGTCCTCTTTTGCATCCTTGGCTGCTCAAAAACTTCTTTTCCACTCCTTAAAGTCACAACATTCATCTGCTCCGCATTTGGATTCACCACGGTTTGGCTAGGCAACCTTCCTGGTTGATGTTGTTGCCCCATCAAACTTGCTAACTGACTCATTTGGCACTCAAGGTTTTCAATTGCTTTGTCTGTTTTCTGTTGATGAGATTGAGTAGAGTTAGCTAAAGAAGCAATTAAATCCTCAAGAGACTTACTTGGAGCTTGTTGTTGTTGAGGCTGAAACGGTGCCTGCGGTCTTGCTTGAAAGAAGCCAGGTGGACGGTTATAGTTGTTGGGAACAGATTGTTGTCCGTTGTCTTGATTGTTCCACTTTAAATGTGGATGATCGCGCCACCCTGCGTTATAGTTGTTGGAGTATGGATCATACTTTTGTCTTTGTTGCCCCTGAAACCCTCCTAACGCATTAGCTTGCTCAAGACCACCTTGATCCATTAACGAAGGGCACATATCGGTGGCATGTCCCATCATTGAACAAACACCGCACACCTGTTTTGGAGCCACCATAACCTGTTGCACAAGATTAGTCAAGTTAGCTAATTGTAATTCAATACTAGAGTTAGCACTTACCTCGTTAACTTTCTTAAGAGGTAGCTCATCTCTCCCTCCAAATTGTCGTGTGTTGTCAGCAATGTTCTTTAATAATGCCTTAGCATTTGTTGGTGTCTTGTCCATGAATGCTCCTCCACTTGCTGCATCAAGCATTACACGATCAGTACCACACAATCCTTCATAAAAATATTGTATTAAAAGATGCTCTGAAATTTGATGATTAGGACAAGATGCAACCAAATGTGTGAATCGCTCATAGTAATCTCCAAAGGGCTCTCCATGTTGTTGTCGGATTGCACATATGTCTTTCCTTATGCTTGCAGCTTTTGTGGCCGGAAAATATTGCTCCAAGAATGCTTGCTTCACCTGGTTCCATGTGTTCATTGATCCTGGAGGTAAATTGTAAAGCCACTCCTTTGCCTTAGCTTCTAATGTAAATGGGAATGCCCTCAACTTGACTTGCTCCTCATCCACATTGGCTGGTCTCATTCCCGAGCATACCACATGAAACTCCATGAGATGCTTGTTGGCATCCTCTGTTGAGAAGCCATGGAACTTAGGCAAGTAGTGAATCATGCCGGACTTAAGCTCAAATCCTCCTCCTGCATTTGGATATGTGATGCACAATGGTTGTTGATCCGTATTAGGCGTTGCCAACTCTTCATATATCTCTAAGGCCTTGGTTAAATCAAAAGAATAACTTTGGTATTTTGGAGGCTTCATAGGGACAAATCCAACATCATTCATCACCATTTTCTGATCTTTGACTGGTTGGACTAAACCCTTCACTATTAAAGGTTTAAAAGGGGTAGTCATCTCAGCCACACACATGTCCATCCCTTCTCTTCCATGGCCATCATTTTGTTCTAGCTCAGCTCCTTTAAACTCCACTTAGTGAATTGCAACTTTATTTTTTGTAAAAAAGATGAGCTTTAGATAAGTGTTTCACTTGTTGTTCCTCAAGCAATAGCTTTTCGTACTTTGTGGCAGCAATTACCAACTCTTGTAAATCATTGAATTGTACATCATAAAACTTTTTCCTCAAAGGCAGCCTCAAAGTCTTCTGAGCAATGGATATAAGTTGGGCATGATTGATAAGGAATTGGCTCCTCATTCTTGTCCTTTTGAACCTCATCACGAAGTCTTATGTAGACTTATGTTCATATTGTTTCACCTCCACTAAGTCATTGATAGACATCTCGGGCTCCATCCTATAGAACTGCTCATGGAAAGCCATCTCCATTGGCCCCCAGTTAACAATAGAATTGAAGGGCAATAGAGAATACCATTGAGATGCTAGGCCAACCAACGAGTTCCCAAACAATCTTAACTTATAATTAGAATTGTCTTCAAATGCCACACAATGGTTGGAGAACTTGAAGATGTGATTTCTAGAAAATACACTGCCATCTTCCCCACTAAAAGTAGGAAATGCGGGCATCTTAAAGTTAAGTGGGAAAGGATTTTGCTCATCAATATACTCCGAGTGTGGCTTCTGGTAAGTGTTCCTGAACAGCAGGCGAGCCTGCAATTGAGCATTCTGGGCCACCATCCTTCTTAGCTCAACTAACTCATCTCTGAGTTGTTGGTTAGTTGTATTGCTGTATGGGGTATGTGGGGATCCCCATTTTGAGCTGCGATCATTGCCCGATAAGGTTTCCTTTTTTGGGTCGGGTTGTCTCCACTTGGCATCCCCTCCCTTACTGGCTAATAGTGGAGGCCTATAAGGATGAGGCTTGTCTGCCTTGGTAGGTTCGCCTTTTCCACTGGATTCTCCGATTAACTGGGGCATCCTATACTTCTTTCTTTCTTGCCCGCTCTGCCCCCTACTACCTAGTGAAAATAATAGGGGGTCAGGCAACTCCTTATCTAGGATCTCCTCCAAAACTGGCTGACTAGCTCTAGATTCTTCCTTATTTTTTCCTTTATCCTTCTTTTCCTTAAGCACAAGAAATAGGGGGATAACTGGTTCTTTCTCAAGGCTCTCTTCCTTCATTATTTCCCTGACATAACCATTCTTTGGAGTACAGTACTCCATATCTAATCTTCTTTGCAGACTCTCTGTTAAATAACAGAGTCTGCTTACTTTTCCTCTAGTTTCTAGAGTGATTTTCTCTATACTTTTCAGCACTTGTAAATCTTCATTGGTCACCTTTCCTCCTAACTTTTTACATGAAGTTAGGCTTTCTAGAATAGTTGGTCCTAGCAAGGAAGGAAAATCCTCTGGATGATTTATCATGCTTGATCTTGGTAAACACTAGGGTGGGCCGTATTTTGTGTTCCACCTGAAAGTTTTCTCCTTCCTTCTTTTTCTTGGCATACAAGACTATGAATATCCCATCGGGCGTGCCAAAACTATGTTCGGGTGAAGATTTCTCTAGAGAAGGATCCTCAGACCTCAGCATAGCTTCCCAAGGGATTGGCACTTTGGACGTGTAGTCGGGCTCTTACTTGTTAATGTGCTACAAGAAAAGGACAAAGTTAGTTCTGAAAGGTGTCTTTGTGAGGCCTTAGGTGTAGGCCTTGAGGCTCACAATCAAAACTAACTAAGTGCTAGGCGTGCCATTTCTATCTCAGTATAGCAGATGTAGAGCAAGAGTGTTTTTAGTCGATTACTTACGCCCCAAGTTACTCGGATTTCTTGTTATCAAAGGATTGTCATGGATGCGTTGAGTCCACATTAAGTTCTTTTTCTTGCCTTGTAAACAAGGACTTTTAGTTCATAGTCTTGTATATTTGAATGAAGGGAGTCCAGAGCCCCTTAAGCCATTTGTTTGGTCCTAGATTGCTTTTACTGATAACATATCCATTAAACTAGCTAGATCCAGATGCAAATGTGACTCTTAAAATAGGAAAACTGATGGAAATAACTTGAATACATACTAGAGAATGCATTAAGTAATGGATCTACAAATTTAGAAAACAAACAAAGAGCGTCAGGCAAGATTTCACCTTGTCTGTCAAGGTTGAACATTTTTCAATCACTTCTCTTTGAATTAACAGGGGTTTATATGCTAAAAGGGGATGGATGGTAAACAAGTTTACACAAGGGAATCGATACTACGCCACTGAGGGAGATAGCTTGTCGCTAAAAATGACTGAATCTGGGTTGATTTTAGTTTTTGGATGCAAATCTGGCTTGAGAGCAGAGTTTGTATATTTGTTTGTTTGATGGGTTGAGTGTCCTTATCTCTGGGGCCTCTTTCTCCTTTTATAGGAAATTTAGCCCCAACTGCTGTGATTTTGCTCTTGCCCGAAAGCACTGAAGGGTAATGAGTCATCAGCCTTTTACTTGGAATGCCACTAGAAAGTGTTCTTTGGCTGGTAGTAAGTTAGTCTTCATCACTTGTTACTTCAGTGGTAAGCAAATGGCTTGTATCTTGGTTGAGAATGATTCACTTTGCCTTTGGGCTTGGTGCTGGGCTTCGGGCAAGTCCCTTTTTAGTCGACATCCTGGGCTTTCCTTCATCTAAAGTCCAATGTACAAATATTAACCCAAACACCATCATCTCCCAATCTCCAATCTGGCACCCAAAATTTGGATAGCTGAAGGGAAAAAAACCCACGATTTGGATTCTGAAATGGAAAATTTCTCGAGCGAACAGAAGATTTGAGTGCTGGTTTGTCTCTCTCTCTCTGTCTCTCTCCCAAATTTGCTAGTTCTGCGGTGGGTTTATGTTAAAGTGAATATCCACATCGTACTGCACACGCTAACCTCTCTCTTCCTTACTTCTTATGGTGGCGTTGAAAGAAAGAGGATGACCATCATCACCACCATAATGACCATCATCATGATTTCAAGATTAGAAACTGTCCAACACCAACAGCCACTACCAGCCGCCCACAAAGTAAACGCTCCTTCCCTCCCCTTTTATTTATTATTATCTCCTCCCCATGTCAACGTCACTTGTCTCACACACCCATTGCTCTCTCTCTTGCACCCCCCACCCCCCCTCCCTCCCTCCTCCTCTCTCGGTCAATTGCCTATTTGGGGTTTCTTCTTTTGTTTTCCTGCTATCCCAAAAACCCAATTCCCCCCGCCCTCTGCACCAGGTAGATATAGCTCTCCCTGTCCTCTCTCAGGCATTTATTCAAACACCCGCTGGGCGTTCTAGATTGGTACTATTCCCACTGCTGTTTATTCTATGATTCCAATAGATTGTGGTTATAGTATTGATGGTGATGTGATTGAGTGAGAGAGAGAGTGAGAGAGAAAGAGTCTTCATGTCTTCTTCTCTTGTTCGGATGAAACACGACAAGCAGAAGGTGAAGGTCCCAGCAATACCAACACCACCAACCTTTCGTCTTCTCAGCTATTTGGGTCAATGGGTTCTCGTCCTTCTTATTCTTCCTTGCTCTGCCTCTGCTGCATGCGACCGGCTCGATCGCGACGCTCTTTTGTCCTTGCCCTTCAACACACCGTTGAATTGGTCTGCTTCCACTGACTGCTGCCTTTGGGATGGAGTCACCTGCGACCCGGTTAAGCACAGCCGCGTCGTCCGGCTTTCTCTGCCCAGGAGAGGCTTATCCGGTGTCGTCTCTCCGGCCATCACCAACCTCACCCGTCTCACCCACCTCAATCTTTCCCACAATTCCCTCTTGGGTTCTCTGCCAGACGACTTGCTTTCTTCCCTCCCAAGTATTGAGGTCATTGACTTGAGCTTCAATCGTCTCATCGGCCGCTTCCCACAATCCTCCAATGAAAGCAGCCACCTGCAGATTATAAACTTGTCCAGCAACTTCTTCAATGGAACAATCCCAGCTTCGATCCTCGTCCCTTCAGTGTCCGTTTTCAATGTCAGCAACAACAGCTTTTCGGGACCAATACCGGTCAGCGATGGCGGGAATCACACTTCCCTTACCTTCTTGGACTTGTCCTTCAATAAATTCACTCGCCCAATTCCCCCAGGAATCGGATTGTGTTCGAGGCTCCAAACTTTTCGGGCAGGCTTCAATGCCCTCAATGGTTCTCTCCCTGATGAAATTTTTATGCTTGCTGATCTCCAACAGCTCTCTCTGCCTGTCAATAGTTTCTCTGGACCCATCAGTGGTGGCATCATGAACCTCACCAATCTCAGGATCCTCGAGCTTTATTCGAACAACTTCTTTGGGCAAATCCCCGGGGATATTGGTAACCTTTTCAGGTTGGAGAATCTGCTCCTCCACATCAACAACTTGACAGGTGCCTTGCCTCCGTCCCTCACCAACTGCACAAATCTATCCACCTTGAATTTGCGGGTTAACAACTTGACTGGACAGCTCTCTGCCTTCAATTTTTCCACTCTCCAACGCCTCGCCACTCTGGACCTTGGCAACAATAACTTCATTGGTGAGTTACCTCAAAGCCTCTACTCTTGCAAGTCCTTAACTGCTATTAGATTGGCCAGCAACCAGCTCACAGGCGAGATATCACCTCAAATAGTCGCGTTAGAATCGTTGTCTTTTCTGTCCATCTCTACCAACAACCTGACAAATGCCGCGGGGGCCTT